CATCCGACAGGCCGCGCAGCCACTCAAGCCCGGCCTCCCGCCGCCGCCGCCAATGGCCGCGCGCGGGGCGGGGACATGCAAAGGAGTCCGCCCCCGGGGGTGGGGTCGGGGCCGGGGCACTGCCCCGGTGCACGCTGCCCACTTGCGGCTGCCTGGCACCACAGGCTCCGAGACCCCCACCGTGGCCGCCTCCCGGTCTGGACGGGGTGCTGGGGCAGTGGGCCTGGGTGAAGTGAGCACCTCAGGACCCTGCTGCCCCTCGCTGTGCTGTGCGCCATCCCTGCCCAGTGATCCCCGCTGGATCACCTCCGTGGCTGGGGCCAAGAGGGGGTCCTGCAGTGGGGACGCTGGGGCAGTGGGCCTGGATGGGTGGGCACCCAGGGATTCTGTCACTTCCCCAGCCAGAGGGGCCACCTGGCCTGCTGCCCCCACCCTTTCCCCCTCAAGGCAAGCGGTCCTGGGGCACCCGGCACTCCAGCAGCATTGGCAAAAAAACCCAGTGCGCCGGAGCACCTGGCGCTCAGCTGACAGCTGGTTATCTGACACAGAGGGATAACACGGCTGTGCACTCTACCCTACAGCCTCCGGATCCGCGGGAAAAGGGAAGTCGGGTCACAGACAGCAGCAGGCCCTCGGAGGGTCCCCTCCCATGGGGCTGGACCTTGAGAGGTCTGATGGCCGAAGGAGACTGGAACCCCCCCCAGGCTGTTACTGGCCCCCTCCTTCCCTGGTCAGTTATTTCTGGACCAAGTGCTGATTCTCCAAACCCCACCTGGCCCCCGACTACCCCTGTCCAGGGCTGACACCCCTCCCACCCTGTCTGCTGGGGACTTCTCAGGGCCCCCACGCAAGATGCCCCAACTTTGAGGAGGTGGCGACAGTCAGGGAATCCTGGCGTGGAGAGCCTCGATGCCTCGTCCAGGGCTGGAGAGCCTGCGAGGGGCTCTGCTCACTGCTCCCCCAGGAGCTGGAGGGATGGCTGGCTGTCCCTAAGATGTGACAGCTCTCACCAGACCCTGTCCCCCCAGAGGCTTAGCCCTCCCACTGGCAGTGCCCAGAGGCCAAACAATTAGCTGCCTCTTGGGCTCAGAGGTCTGAAAAAACACAGACGGAGGGACGCTGCCCACAAAAGTGTCAGCCTGAGGGGGCCTGGTGGTGGCTGCATTGAGACTGTCAGGTGCCAGGCACACGTCATCTTCAAATCAACCCTGAAAGGTGGGTGCTATTGTTGTCCCCATTGTACAGATGGGAAACTGAGGCCCAGAGAGGCAAGGGGAGCTGTCCAAGCTCACCGGGGAGGAAGTGGCAGAGCCAGAAATTGCATGTGACAATTCTGTCTCCCAAGAGCATAAACTGTCCTCTGACAGGGTGGGCCCAGTGGTCCCCTGGAGACCCATCCCTCAGCTACCTGTCAGGGCCGGGGCAAGCCCAAAGGAGACCGCTCAGGCTCCCCAGGCCTCCATTCCCTGCCCTGCGCCTCTGGCCCCACCCCTTGCAGGCTGCTCCCATATGTGTGTGTGGTGAGGCCTGGTGTGGGGGTGTGGGACCACCAGAGCCTGCCCTGGGGACTCCAGGTGTCTCACCCCATGAGGCCAACCTCAGGGTGGCTGGCCCCAGGTCTCAGCTAGGGGCCTGAGCAGCTGATGCCTGCTGGCCTTGGGGTTCCAGGAAGTAGGCACCCCCTCCTGCCAGCTGCTGCCTGAACTGCCTGTGGGCATGGGAGCTGTGGAGAATTCTGGGGTCCCTGGAGTCCCTGTGGCTGTAGGTGGGGTATCTGTTGGGGGTGACCAGGAAGAGAGGCAGGCAGGCTGGCCAGAGAGAGCAGGCCACCAGGAGGGGCGGGGAGGTAAGCAGCAGAGGAGAAAGGCCCGCCCTTGCCACCTTTACGTTTAGGGGTGTTCATGTCAAAATCCAGCTCTCTGGTTTCCCTTGCAAACAGGAAGCTCTGGGCCCTGCCTTACAGCAGCCCTTCTCTCGCCTTCCAGCAGTCCTCCCAATCTTCGATCATTGTGTCCCTTGGTTCTTCTGTTTGCCATCTGTCTCACCCTCTGGGTACAGGAACCAGTTTGTCTTGGTCACTGCCACGTCCCTGGCAGCCAGTTCTGGGCCTCAATAAACAATTATTAAATTGACAATAGGAATATGAGTTAGAAGCACGGGCCCAATTCCAGAGGACACATCATTGCTAACAAGGATTTAGGGCAGAATGCTCCTCAGCCTGCAACGAGAGCAAGAGTAGTGTGATCAAGTCGTGTGAGCGAGGCTTTGGGAAGGAGGGGGCATTTGCACTGGGCCGTGAAGGTTGAGCAGGAGTTCAACAGGATCAGGAGGCAGAGAAGTTCGCCAAGTGGAGGGAGGAAATATGGGAAGGGTCAGAGTGCCGATAGGTGGGCTGTTGAGCTGAAGAGGCCAAAGTGTGGTCCAGTTGCTTGGAGAGAAATGGGAGGCCATCAGGTTGACAAGGTAGAAGGGGGATAGAGTATAAGGGAAGTTTGAATGTCATGCCTAGGAGACTGGAAATTGTCCAGGAGGAAGTTGGGAGCCAATGCACTGTGCTGTAAGAGAGAGGGCACGGTGTTACAGAAAGGGGAGGGATGGTGGAGGCTGTGGGCAGGGAGATGAGTTTGAAGGGGTTTGCCATAGCTCAGGGGAGAGATGACAGGGACAGAGGGAGCCTCCAGGCCTGGAGGTGAAGGAAGAAAGAGAGTCCATAGGGCAGAGACAGTGGGGCAGTCTGGCTGATTAAAGATGGAACACTCTTTGCTACTCTATCCAATGAGGGATGAGGTCTATGTCCCCTGCCCTTGAATCTGGACAGAATCAGATTCTTTGACCAATTTATTGGGGGAAGTAGAGACCCTGTCAGTTTCTGGACCCAGATTATATGAGACTGGCGGCTTCCACTTCCTGTCTCCTGGAACACTCATTCTTGGAACCCAGCCGCCATGCTGCAAGGAAGCCCAAGTAGCCCTGTGGAGAAGAACTGGTTCACCGGCCACGTGAGTAAAGAAGCCTTCTTAGAAGTGGATGCTTCAACCCCAGCTGACACCCTGCTGAGTATATGTGACGCCCTGCTGTCCCCACTGGTCCTAGAACAGGCTGCTATCAAGGTGGAAAGGAGCCTGTTTGGTGGAGAAGGCCAGGGATGTGGCCTTGGCCAGGCCTGGGGATGTCCAGATTCTTGGGACCCTCAGACCTAGAGAGGGGAAGATCCCTACAGGGCAAGGCAGATCCCCAAGGCAGGGTCCAGAGTCGAGGTGAGCCTGGGGCTGAGAAGAGGTGGAGCATGAGAACCGTGCCCCCCTGCCCCGGGGAGGGTGCCCCCAGCCTCAGCTCCTCTGGCCCAGGGCTGGCTCTGCTAGGCAGGGGAAGATTGCCATATGCCCATGTCCCAGCAAAGGACAGAGTGACCCCAGGCCTGCTCCAGCCTCCCTGAGGCTTTCTCCTGGATCCTCACCCCCTCTCCCTCCTGGTGGCCCAGGCCCTGTGGTGCCCCCATGCCTGTGGCCTCCAGCTCATACACTCTGCCCTCTCACTGGTCCTTCTGGATGTCTGACCT